ACTGACCCTTTTTTCCCTAGACAATTCTTTGCTTTTTAAATAAGACATCCCACACACTTGCCTGCGGTAAAGGCTTCTTACTAAGGCAAGGTATTGTTACAAGCTCTGCAACGCTTGTTTGATTTGTGGAGGTGCTATGGAAAGACAACAAGAAATTTCTATTGTCCCACCCCCTCCCCTCTCCTTCTTTTTGATTATTGGCAACCCCTTGGTAAATATTTCCTTCTTTCCAGAGCCTTCCACTGCTGAAAAAGTCAGAGATGGCAGCTATAACTTTCACCAAGAAAATGCCTGTTAAAATCACGCCTGTTCTGCAGGCGAACTCCACACATAAATAGCGAACCAAGAAGGAATATGCCATACATTTTTAAGAATTTTTTGTTAATAACCAACTTTAATGCTGTCTCACTTCTTGTTGTACAGAATCCACAAATCTCTTCATTGTAGTAATTTCCTTTCAATTCCTCCTCAGAAGTTAAGCTCAAGCACAGTGGAAGGCATGTAATCCTTATCATAGAAAGAATAATAATATAATTAAATAATAGAATAGAAAATCGCCTTTATTAGCTAATTTGTTTAAAATATGTCCCCTCCACATGATTTTAATATTAATTCCTAAAAATAAGTAAGTGAATAAAAAAGAATAAGAAGGCTGTGTTGTTGATTGCATGACCCCTAAGAGTGATTAGCATCTAATTCTCCTTACAATATCACCCCCTAAATCACACATCAAGGTCATGAGAATAAAAGAAATGATCACCAACTTAAGAAGCTCTTGATTGTTGAACAAATTCTCCTTGTCAGCACCTTAGGAATTGTATAGGGAATAGTCAGGAGAATATGCATACCAATATTAGGGTGTAAAGGGTTAAAGAAAGGTGGTAAAAGTTTTTTTCATGAATATGCTGAGGATGAAGAACATAAAAGTACACAAGATGTAGTCAAACCTGTATTAAGCAGTCACCCTTAGGGAATGGCAGCATGTCAAAGCTTAATACAAGTTGATAAGCAAATGACTTGCCCAATGTTTGTGTGTAAACTGCAATGTTGAGGTCATTTTTTAAACTCAGAGTACTTGCGTTGATTTGGGGAGATATACATGGAATACATTGTACCTGAGAGATTTTTCTTATTTTTATTTAATTAGTGGTTCTGCTATAAGTGACTATTCAGTGCAGGTGGAAGATAATACAAACCTGCCTTTAAGATTCAGTTAGGGGTGACCACGAACACGGAACGGAAGTGAAAATTACAGTTGTTAAAAGAAAATATTTGGGACTTTGACAACCAACCACCTAATACAGGATGACCACTTAATATAGTGCTACTTACATGTAAGACCGTTTTGACTGTACCTGTCACAAATGAACTTAATTGTGGTCTAACTTGACATCAGAAGTTCCAGGGGTCAATCCCTTGTGGGGGACTGTGGGGGATTGAGATTATTTCCCTTCTTTGCCCTTGTGACAAAACAATTAACAAGTTTTTATTTAAGAAAGAGATTCTTGATCATTAAAGTCACTATTATTTTCCTTTTTTTTCAAGTTAATGACCAGTCAACCTTAAAGATTGCAGAGGATAAGATGAAGAGCAAGACTCATTAAGGTAAATATCAGTTTTCAATTTGGAGAAAATTTCATCCCCAAAATCATTCTTAGCCAAAGACAAAATTATATATCAATATTAATCACAAAAGTAATTAATAAAATTAGGAAGATACAATTAAAACAATCAGAATTTCATAATCATCAATCTTGAGCAATCTTTATTTTCTGTTCTTGGTTTTGCTTTGACACTGATAGTTGAAAAAGCAACTAAACATCACTGGTTGATTGTGATAAAATAATTTTACACTCAATGAAATAATTATGTTTTATAATAGAAAGAGTTGATCACGTCTTTTTTTAGTTTGATTTAAAAATAGCACTAAGGAAAAATAAATTCATTGTTTCACAAGATATGTCTCAGATTTATTACAGGTACTATGGTATGTAATTTCATTCTGCGAAAAAAAATCATGACATAGTGAGACAGTGTAGCTGAGTCGTTAACCCTTTAACCCCCAGAAGTGACCAACATGTAACTTCTTCCTATGACATCCATGTTTTCTAGCAAACAGTTTATGAGAATACTCAAACTTATCTGAAAGTTTTTATCTTGATCTAACACCAAATTCTTGTCACTAATTTACACGGAATTGTGTAGCAACAAGAGGAGAGAATTAACAATCAGATCTTGGGAATTAAAGGATTAAGGCACTGGTCTTGTAATCAGATGGTTCCAGGTTCATGCCTCCCACCCTGCTACTCACTGAGTGTTTTCTTGGTTACGTTAAGGTTGAATAGTTGGCCGTGCTTCCTATTTTGGCCTACTGGTTTGCAGCTGGCCAGTTAAGATATTTTTAGTGTTTATTCACATTGTTCATTTAAAATGTGTTTGTATTGGCCCTGAAAAGCCCAATTCCACAAGAAGAAGCCTGAAACAATTCAGGCTTTGACAGGGTTTGAACCCATGTCTCTGTAAGTGTTCATAGTTGAGTGTTCTACCATCTGAGCTACAAAGCCATGCACACACCAGGAGCAAGCCAAGAATCCCTCCATTAGTGACAATCATCCCCAGACCAAAATGAGATCTATTCCATTTGTTGCTCATACATTTCTGTATGGGAGCAAAGACCCCACAATTACATTTTAGATTGTGACATATGACTTCATAGCTCATCTGTTTGAGTGCTCAACCAATATATGGACTCTGTCATAACCTGATTTATTCACACTTCTCCAACTTTGAGGATCACTCCCTAATTTGTAATTATAGAGGGCAGCTACATATAGGGAGTTTCTGGGAATTTCTAGAAGCCAACTAGTTATGTCATATGGATACTGGAGCAATGTAATGCAATGCTCTGTAACTTTCTAAAACATTTAACATTTAACCTAATGATTAAGTCTCTTATGCAAGGCTTTTGGGATGAAGTAATCATGAAGTAATTTGTTGTGAGAAAATAGTATAGAGGGCTTTAGCTTCAATGCCCAGGACATTGATCAAGTGTTTTTTCACTTACAATATCTAAGTAGTCCCTTCAATCACAAGCACAGCACCTTTGTTAAGGAAAACAATAATATAAAAATAATATAAAAGTATTCTATGAAAAGAAAGTATTCAACTACTTTTATGAAACTAACTTATGAACCTGGCTAGAGGAATAGCAGCAAATAAATGCCATAAAGGAAAATTGTGATGTTATCCCTAAAAGGCCATACACATTCCCCACCCTCCCCCCTCCCCCATCAAAAGAGAAATTAGCAACAAAATTTAACTGTATACTATTTGATATTTACAATAAATACAAATTGATCTGGTGAACGAAATTGGTAAATTACTTCAGTAAAGCAAGAAAATGTTAAGAAAATGTAAAGAAATTAGTCAAACCCTTAGATAGGATTTGGTGATTACCAGCTGTACATTATTACACCGTTATTATTGAATGACTAGAAAACTCTTGAACAACAGTGCAATTCCAATAAAAAACAGAAACCTTACATAATCTTTAAAGAATCTAACAGTAGATTAAAGCCAGGTACATTTTGTAAATTTAATCTCAAAAAGGAAGTGGGAAACTGACTTCTTGAAAATTACAGTACCGCTCAGGGTACTGAGCAGGGTAGTCAGACGCGTATATACGATTTTTTGGTGCGTACGGTTGAAAAAAATGCGCGACTCGTGTGCCTTTGTTATTCAGTACCACAAGTTTCCTTTGTTTTACATTGTTGGGTGAAACAAAGAACTTTTAGGTTTGAAAAAGCGGCGAGAAGACAACGGAAAATTTACCTAATGCTGCCATGTTACACTCACGCATGTCCCGTCGCTTCGCGAATTTATTGAATAACGAGCAGTAGCAGTAGATATACTTGATATGAGTTGTTGATGAATCAGCTAGGAAGGAAAATGTCACTTACTCAAGGCATCGAAACGCATGTTTCATTGAGTGAGTAACGAAACAAATACTCACTAATATGCTTCCCAATTTATTCATTGCAATCAGCACTCCCTAGGATGTTTACGTCGCGGAATGAAAACAATTTGGTGTCTGCATCGTAGGTGATGATTTCTTCGAAACTTCGAACCTACCTCGATCACCTTCGATGAGGATCAGAAGCAAATTAAGGTAAATTTCCGCACAGCCCCAAACTTCATTATGCATGCACATCTTTGGTGCTACACTGAATGATAAAGCTCCATATATGGATGCTAAATGAAGTAAGGCGCTGTACGAAAATTTTGCCGGAAAATATCCTGTTTAAGATTGTGAATGATGTTCACTTTTACTCATTGCAATCGGCGCCCGCTTCAGTGTTTACGCACTGGAATGTAAACAGTTTCATTTCGCTCGTGATGATTTGTTTGATTGCGGAGCGCATAATGTTACAACGATGAAAGGTCAAGTTAAAGTAAATCGCAATGTCAAAGACGAAAATGCACTTAAAAACCGAAAACGCTTCCACAGACTACCGTTCAGTATCTTATTACTCAAGCGTCTGTCAATAACGTCTAAATATTTCAAAACAGACTCTAAAATCTGTCATCAACCCATGGTACTGATGTTTTGGCTAATTGTACGCGCCGGCGAGTCTTAAAACAAACTTGAACTACATGTATCCTGCTGTAAATTTTTCCGTTCCCATTTTTGGAGCAATTTGGTGAACATCGATCAATGATTTGACAAATATCGAAACAAAAAGCAAATCCGGTTTCTCTTAAAAATTTGCATACGAGTCAGAGCAAGAAGTAGTCGTGACAGGTAAGCATACTGTAACACGACACCATTAAAATAAGCGATTAGAGCTTAGTAGTTTTTGGATTAAATGGCGATATGAATGAACCAGTTTTCGAGAACAGCATGTTCACCGATGACAAAAGCTCTGAAATGAGCATTCGGACGTGGGTTTGCATTCAGAACGCGACAACTTGTTACAAACGGGTGCCTTAGCTGATTTCACCGAATTCCCAAGCCAAAAAAAATTAGCGAACAATTTGGAACAAGAAACAGCAGTTTATAAAACGACTACTTTACCATTTTTTAAATTTGTTATAACAGCAGCAATGCGTCCATCATTGTTCATTGCAATCCCTCTTACTTCAAAGAACTCGTCACAATTTTGGATTTGTACACTACGAACAAACTCACCATCTTTGCTCAATATTTTAACCTCCAGGAGGTTTCTGTTTAAGTCTATACCAGCGACGACGACATGTTCACCTGCTGGTTGAAATGTGATGCTCGTGTACTTAAAGAAACTTCTTTTCAGTTTGAACTTGTTCAGATAGTCGCCGTGTTCACTGAATATGTGAACAACCAAATCTGCTTTGAGAGTATCGCTGCGGGAGGGATCATCATTGTCCAATACTAAAACACGGCCATCGTTAGCAACAGTGATATCCACCGCATACCTCAATATTTCTTCTCCAAAACTGCGAACAAATTCTCCATTACTGTCATATTCCTCCACTGCCGTCCCGTCCCCCAGGGTCATTACTTTCCCTGTATCTCTGACCGATAGTCGTCTGTGCCAGCGCTCTCCCCTCAGACGAAACCTGTGGTGCAGGTCAGCGATTTTATTAGGTTTATAGACCCACCAAGATCTCTCAGATCTCTCAGATTCATGAAACCCAGGCTTCCCCATCATGGTCAGCACAAAGATATTGT